GGGTGAATTGCAAACCACGCCCCGTAAAACTCTGAAATGTTTTGTAGAGACGCCATTTTATTATCCTCGCATTAGCATTATTAGCATTAGCCCCGTGCACCAACGGAGAGAGAATAACTTTAAAAAAAAACATGGGAGCGGTGGAGATGAGGAGGTGTCGGCGTTGTGGCGATTTCCTCGGAAGGCTACTGAAACCTTCCCCAACTCCGGGGACTTTGGGTGGCAGTATACGCCGTGAAGTTGTTTGCGGCCTGCCAGTAAACCCAAAGCAGAAGAAGACGAAGTGACGTCAGCGGCTTAATTTGCCTAATCTTCCCTCAGGGAACTTACTCCGGTGTGAACGCGATCTGTACTCAGTTCCCTGCTGGCACTAAGTGCTGGGGCACTAAGTGCCGGCGCGCTAAGTGCTGGGGCACTAAGTACGGCAAAGTACTTGGTGTGAAAGCAGCTATTGTGTTATTTTTAACCAATATCTCTCAGAGGGGCGTGGGGAGGGGCTCCTTATTTTCATCTAAAGTAACAGACAGAGAATCAGCACTTTTGAAACAGGGCTGAAACAGAGGGGATTATGGGATGCTGCAATGATCTGTTTGGTGTTTCAGCCAAACGATTCAGAGACATGTTTTGTATATATCTGAGACCTGTAATATATTGATGAACAACAGTATAATAGGGGTCCTTTAACACTCCTTATGAACTCTCCTGATTGTCCTCCAGAACACCATAGAAGAATGGCAGACAGTTTTCTACATCGCTGCCGGCATCAACCTGTTCGGAGCGACGGTCTACACTCTGTTCGGCCGAGGAGGCGTTCAGCCCTGGGCCGTCCACACGTCCTACAACCATGGAGACTGAGACAGAAAACACACGACGTCGGACTCCTCCATTTGATGCTTGAGTGAGGGTTTGATTAATCAACGGGTAAACAGCGAGATATACGTTCCAGCTGTGATTTTAATTTTCAAAGCGCTGCTAACTAACTGCCATTACACCCTGCAGGATGTTCGTTACTGTGACTTCTCCAGAGTCTGTTGACAGATAATCTTACAGTCAGAGCAAGGAACAGAGAAGAGTGCAATTTTAGTGAAGGGAACGTTTTATTTAGCAGAGCTAACAATCACAGTATGATCTCTAAGAGGTATCAGAGGAAGCTGCTCTTACGAAGCAGGCCACTCTCTTTTTACTCGCAGAAACATGGGAATTATTGTATGTTATAGAAGGCTAAGTAAACCCTGTTTAATTGGCATATATTAGCTATGATACAGATTTAAGTGTAGTTCCTTTAGTGTTCAGGTTTGTCAGGTAGCAAACTATCTAGGCTCATTTGTCATTCGAGCCTCCAGAGCACTTTGCATATATGGTTATTGCCGTTGTAAAAGTCTACGTTCTTAACAAGGACATTTATTTTCACTTGTGTGCGGACATATCTCTGTGCCAATACACTTTTTTTTGAAGTGGTTGAATGCTCCCCCCCAAAAAATGACATCAAAGTCATTATGCTCCTAGACTAAACACACGCATTGATACAGTTTCTCTAGAGGGAACAATGTGACTGTACAACGCTTGGCAACATGCCTTGTCGTGACTCCTTAAAATGGATTTTAAAGCTCTGAGTCTTTCATGGGATTTGAAAAGGGACCAAGTTATTGTATTTGTTTGTATTTACTTGTGATATGTTGCCAATAAGGGCTGTTTATGTGCACAACAACTTGTTTATGTCCTCCTAAAGCATTTTATTTGTAATCTGTGACTGAGAAGATGTTCTGATGAAGGGAAAGTAAAACGTAAAAAGGTTCCTGGAGGACACACAGCCTTTGATTTACTCACAGGATTTGCACTTTCTTTGTCAGCTCTCAGGTGTGTCTGAGAAAAATGGAAAAAGGATGTTTGTTTAATTTGTATCTTGTTTTTTTAATTGCGCACAGTTAACTCAATATGAATGGAAGTAATTCTCTATCTTAGCCTTTTACTCCATATATGACTGTTTGTATCTTGCCCCTTTAAGTGTAATGACTATAGGGGGGTGAACCAAAATCAGCCTGAAGGGATTTGTCTCAGTTGTTGTTTCTGTAAGTAGCATCATCATCCCAATTCAAGGTGCAATGCACTTGTGCCTTATTACATTAGCCTAAACAGGCTCAGACAAGTCAGTCCTGAAGACTCATTGTTTTCATAAAGGAATCCTCTCGTTACTGCTTTTTCTGTTCCATTTCCACGAGTCTACAAACAGAGAAAAGGGGACTTTTGATTGCTGTGTATATATACTGTATCGATACACTCTACAAAAAAGGGAATCATTGTATGTTTTTAACCTTGAAATATGTCAACATGTCTTAATTCACTGTAATGTATTGTATATACTTAATCATATACAGCTATTCTCAAATCGATATTGTGTTGTGTTGTTATTTCATTATATATCCAGTCACAGCGAAGTGAAGGAACATTATAACTTATTTACATCTGTGCTGAAAAGGAAGATCACATTTTCCAACATGTTGATTTGAACTTTTAATTACATTAAATGTAATTTTACAACCAGTTACCTGTGATATTTAAAAAAAAAAGAATCAACTTAAATATGTATAGAGTATCTGACAAAGTCAAACACAATGATGCATTGATTTGAAGTTGTTGGGTCAGATGACAGAAGCTTTAGAAAAAAAAATCATGAAAGTAAACATAAAAAAAAAAAAAGGAAAGAAGCATCAAATTCAAATCATCAATTAATTGTATTCTGATACAGTCCTGCCTCTCGAAGTGCGATTTGTTCCCCTCTAGGATACTTTTCTGCAACACCAACTATGATGGAACAGCCCACAAGTGTAAATACATGAAGACTGTTTACTCTGAGTGTGTGTTACATACGGAACTGTATAATGCATGCTACATCTCAAGTTCTTAATTTGCATTTTGAGTTATTGCAATCGCAACACACATCTCAAGCCCACATATGTTTCCCAAATGAGTTATAACTCTCGGGCTGTTGCGATGCACACTTTGCCATGCAGGATCAGTGTCCTCTGATAAACTCGCTCACAGTAACTTCTCCCTCGGTGTGATGCTGTGCAGCGCGTGCGCGCAATTACGCAACACCCCCTCCTGTCCTGTGCGCTAAAACCTGATCAGCGTCTCTCCTCAGGTCCTGCACCCAAAACACAGCGGACAGCTCTCAGGTACGACACTACGAGACACTATGCATTGGAAGTGTGCATTGTATATTTGATGCTATGAAAATGAATGAGCGTCTTTTTTGGGCTCCATGCGGTGTTTTGGAAATGTTGTTGTTGTTGTGATGCAGGAAAGAGGGCAGACGGCTGGCGCTTAATACGCATCCAGTGAGCGTGTTCATGATAAACATGGCGGGAGGTAGACCGTTTAATCCTGTAAATATTAAATATATCGCGGCTATTCTATTTTTGATGTGTTTTATCATATTGTGTTTGTTAACGCAGTGCGGCAGCTGCTGTGAGTGACGTTATACTGAAGGATGAGTTAAACATGCGCATGCAAAATACTGACAGTCCTGAGTTCACCTGTCTGGCCAGGATCATGTGAGGATTCTGGTTACAGTTGGATTAAAGCTGCCTGTCTACCTGCAGCACAACAGATTCACTTTAAATCCTCACAGGACTCATTTAGCAGAAGACTGTCGTGCAATTATGTAGTCAAGGTTATCACCATAGCACTCCTGAAGAGTTAACAACATTGTTTACTTCCCTCTGCACTAACCTGTGACAGTGCACTGCAGTGTCTGAGAAATGGCTGCTGCACTGTTATGTGATAGCAGCTGACAAAATGGTGGATTGTGGCTTGGAATTAGGCTGTAGTAAGTCTGAAAGAAGACATTAGAGAGGCTTGTTGTTTTTATGTGACAGTGCTTAGCAGAGCGAGGCAGCAGAAAGAGTGATGTGAAAGAGGAGAGCAGAGGTGTGGATGGATGGAGAAACAGAGTGGGAGGGTTGAGACTTGGCACAGTTCAGTGGCTATTGATACCATCCCTAATCTTCTGAGACACAAACATCTATTGCTAGTCAAGAGACGTCCTTGTTGGTAACCTTAGGTCAACATAACAAGGAACAGACAATATGGTGAGATTGTTTAAGTGCTGATGAACTAAAGAAAAATAAACTCTGACGTCTTTCCTTGTGCAGCAATTCAAATTATTTCTGCATCAGTCCCTTGAGGAGGAACTGTACTTTTTTTTTTTCTCCCACTGCAATGCATTTGCTTAACTTCGTACTGTGTGATCTTGCAAATAATAATAATAACAAATGTATTTGCGCTTTTACGGGTGCTCAAAGTCGCTTTACAAATATCATTAAATCAGACAGTGTTAAATAACAAAGCATATCTAGCGTTAACAACTTTGTTTTTCTACCCTTCAAATATTTATTTTACTGCACACACAAAATATATCCAATGTCCATCAATTACAGGCACTTGTGCATGCAAGGTTTCCGTTTCGTGCCCTGCCAACCACCTGTACTGTATGTTGTACTAACTGTAACTTAACTCTGGTTTTAACAGACTGCTAGCTTCAGCCAGCTCTACTCACCATGGGAAAGGAGAAACAACACATCAATATCGTCGTGATCGGCCATGTGGACTCAGGCAAGTCCACCACCACGGGCCACCTCATCTACAAGTGTGGAGGCATCGACAAGAGAACTATCGAGAAGTTTGAAAAAGAGGCGGCTGAGGTGAGGAGATACAGGCAGTCAGAAAAGACAGCCTTCTAAATAAGATAAAAGTAATCACCAGCTATGAACAAATTACTATCCATTACTTATTTCTCAGATGGGGAAGGGGTCGTTCAAGTACGCCTGGGTGCTGGACAAGCTGAAGGCAGAAAGGGAGCGTGGAATTACCATCGACATTTCGCTGTGGAAGTTTGAAACCAACAAGTACTATGTGACCATCATCGATGCCCCGGGTCATAGGGACTTCATCAAGAACATGATCACCGGGACCTCCCAGGTCTGTAACGAGAGGCTGCTCAGTCTGTGTGTAGGACATGCTCCATGGGAAAGATGTGGGTCCTTTTGTCAGACTCTGTGCCTTTGATAAGAATAACCAGTGTCTCCGATCAATAGTGACTTGTTACTCAAATCATTTGGTCCAAGTCTCAAGTAAGCCACAGGTTAAAGAAATTAGGTTAATAAGTTAATGTCAAGTTGGGTCCTTAACTAATTTTTAAAGAGAAAAGACAAAGTATTAGAGCCAGTCTAAAATGATATCATTAGTCAATTTCTCTGACCTGTTCAAAAAGGTATGACCATGAATTGAATTGTTTATATTTAGTCAAATAAAAGTAGCCAAACCAAAAACAAACAGCATTATAAAACGTTATTTCTTAAATGTAATACAAAAATGATCTGATCTGATCCAAAGACCAGCTTGAATGACAGAGTAGTCATCTGAACATTAACATGCCCATTCCAGTGTGCAATCACAAATGCCTTGCGTTTAATTTTCCACACACTTGTATTGGCGCCATAACGAACAGCTTCCAAATGCTAGCACCACGTTCATTCATCTAGTTGCAGAGTAATGGTGACAGCAGCTTGATTGTTAATGTTTTATCCTCTTTAGGCAGACTGTGCTGTGCTGATTGTGGCGGCCGGTGTGGGAGAGTTCGAGGCCGGTATCTCTAAGAACGGACAGACCCGTGAACATGCCCTTCTGGCCTATACTCTGGGAGTGAAGCAGCTCATTGTAGGCGTCAACAAGATGGACTCCACCGAGCCAAACTACAGCCAAAAGCGCTATGAGGAAATCGTGAAGGAAGTGAGCACCTACATCAAGAAGATCGGCTACAATCCGGACACCGTGGCCTTTGTACCCGTTTCAGGCTGGAACGGAGACAACATGCTTGAGGCCAGCCCCAATGTAAGTACAACACAGAAAACCAGTAATGCAAATGCTGGAAGAAATATTAGAAGTAAGCAGCCTTGAATTTGAATACCAATTTGCATGACTCGGGATGGGGCACGGTAGCTATAAGGGAAAACAATAGTTGAGACTGTTGGTCCGAATAAGAGCGGATAGAGTAGCCCTTGCAATTACAAAAGCGTTGTTCAAAAGAGAACACTGTGGCTTTTACACCTAGCTTACGTTTGCTAACACCAGCCACCATGAGCAACTGGGAATCCCAGACAGTTACTTTTATTTCAAAAGTCACAAAACAATGAAGCTCTTTGCTCAAACAAAGCTAAAACTTGACAATTATTTTCTCTCTTCTAGTTTTACCATAAGTTTAACACTTCTTTAATAACTGTGCAAAGTGTATAATTTAGTACGTTATTTTCTTGTCTCTAGATGACATGGTTTAAGGGGTGGAAGGTCAATAGGAAAGATGGCAATGCTTCAGGGACCACACTCCTGGAGGCTCTGGATGCCATCCAGTCGCCGAGCCGTCCAACAGACAAACCTCTGCGTCTGCCTCTGCAGGACGTCTACAAGATAGGAGGCATGTAGAGCAATCACAACAAATGGGTAGAAACTAAATGCTGTAGGGATAATAGACTCTAGAAACTTATGAAACACCTCATGATCAGAGCGTTTAATCAAAACAGGTTTTTTTTTTTTGTAGATCAAGGCAAGGCAAGTTTATTTATATAGCACCTTTCCACACGGGTTAGGGTTAGGCAATTCAAAGTGCTTTACAAAAATGAAAGACATTCATTAAAAAGCAAAGATAATAAAATAAAAAATACATGAATACAAGTTACAGTGCAGTGTAAGAAGATTTGAATAGTTCAATTAAAAACAGCGGCAAAAATAAAAGTAGTCAGAGTTGCAGCGGACCGGCAGGTTTCCGGTAGCTTGTTCCAGGTATTTGGAGCATAACAACTGAACTTCTCCATGTTTAGTTCTGACTCTGGGGACAGAAAGCTGACCAGTCCCCGAAGACCTGAGAGATCTGGATGGTTCATAATTTAGCAGGAGGTCAGAAATGTATTTTGGGCCTAAACCATTCAATGCTTTATAAACCAGCAGCAGTATTTTTTAAATCAATTCTTTGACACACAGGAAGCCAGTGTAAAGACTTCAGAAACCATCAGAACTGTCTTTATGTTGATTTAAAGGTCCTTCATTGAATGCTACATTTCTCAGGTATTGGAACTGTGCCTGTTGGCCGTGTGGAGACCGGGATACTAAAGCCTGGCATGGTGGTGACCTTTGCCCCCGTCAATGTGACTACTGAGGTGAAGTCTGTGGAGATGCACCATGAGGCGCTGAATGAGGCCCTGCCCGGAGACAACGTGGGCTTCAACGTCAAGAACGTGTCGGTCAAGGACATTCGCCGTGGAAATGTGGCCGGCGATAGCAAGAGCGACCCCCCGCTGGAAGCTGCCAACTTCACTGCTCAGGTAGACAAAGGATGTGTTGATAGAAAGGAAACATGAACGTGATTAAATCAGCACTTTCTTGAGTCAGAACTATTAACAGTCTTGAGGAATATTTGCTGTAAAGTCTATTTTGAGTACGCTTTGAATCCTTTTTTAGCCATGATGACTGTTTCATTGTCTAATTGACAGAGAGAAGGTGTCAAGATAAGACGGAACCCAAACAAGCCAATAGTCGAGTCTTTGCAGTGAACTTCTTTGACAGAATATAAATGATCTCCAGGCCTTTTAAATGTTGTGACTTTGCTTTGCAGGTGATTATCCTCAATCACCCGGGCCAGATCAGTGCCGGTTACGCTCCTGTGCTCGACTGTCACACTGCTCACATCGCCTGCAAGTTTGCAGAGCTCAAGGAAAAGATTGATCGCCGCTCTGGCAAGAAGCTTGAGGACAACCCCAAATTCCTCAAGTCTGGAGATGCTGCCATTGTGGATATGGTTCCCGGCAAGCCAATGTGTGTTGAGAGCTTCTCCGAGTACCCTCCACTTGGTAAGTTCAAGTTTTTGTTGAATTTCAACAGCTTGATACCAGATGAAACCATCACCTAAAGTAACTGTACTCCTCTTCACCTCTCAGGCCGCTTTGCAGTGCGGGACATGCGTCAGACTGTGGCCGTCGGAGTGATTAAAGGTGTGGAGAAGAAGGCCTATTCCACTGGTAAAGTTACCAAGTCCGCCCAGAAGGCCCAGAGGAACAAATGAATGTTGTGCTTCTCTGCCGACCGCAAGGTCTCCCAGGGCAGGACATCCGTCATCCAATTCCACTCTTCAATTGGCTGCTTAATAATCAAAGACTGGTTAATCATCACAATGCATCGAAAAAGCATTCGGCGGAAAGAACGACATTTAGATCTCGAGTCCTTGAGGCAGAAATCCTGACTCCATTGGTTAGATTACCATTAGTTACAATGTAATATCAATCAGTTAACGTGCACAGTCCATTCGGTTCATGACAATATTTTTCTGTGATATTGATATTGAACTATTAGAGATACTGAAACTTATCACCGCTCAAGCTTTCTGGAGTGCAGGCACTGTTCTCTTTATGTGTTGTCTTGCTTTTAGTGTTTGTTTGTAACTTCATGGTGCTCTGTATGGCACAATGCTATAACTACGTTCTTCCGAGTAGTAGATAAGTAGAACTTGGTGATTGTTGTGTTTAAATTATAAAAAGGACTTAAAACAAATGGTGGATATGTGCCCTTCCCGAGGGTTTTTAGAGTAAACTACCTGTTGATTCCTAAAGCACTTTGATTGGCATTTTGCTAAATTTGCACTTGAGAAGCTTTAATTGGCATACGCTACTACACCTTACTGTAAGATGGCATGAGCCTCTTTCTAACATTAAACACGTTTCAACCAAAATGTTGAACTGTGGTCGGTTTCTTTTCTGAAATGTCCTGCATGTAATTGACAGTGCCTTGAACGTTCCTATAGTTTAAAGAAAGTCTGATACAAATCAGAGCAGTCCGAGCATGTGTCCAGGAGATGGAGCCATTGGTTCAGGAACAAAATAGGAATTTTCAAATGCAGTGTATGACAATCATATAATACAAAAATGCATACAGTAAATGTTTTTACAGAGCGCTTCTCGTAGTACTCAAATACACTGTAAACACACATTGTGTACACAAGATAAAAGGATCATATGAAAACACCTCACTTAAGATATACACATTTGTAATAGATGTTTTGTGGGAACAAATAAACCAGTGGAAGTTCTAAAGGACGACATGATCACTGGTGTGAAGACAGGTGCAGCAGAGTTTCGGATATAGAGAAGTTTATCTATGAATGTGATGAAGGTATGGATCAAAGTTTCTTTCTCAGTTAAGAAGGAGAGTGGTGGGTGGAGACACGTTTTTAGTGTGAACAAAATATACTTTTCCTTTGATTTTATTGATGTGGTAATCAAAGGAGTAGTTGCTGTTGAAAATGACTCCCGATGTTGCAGGTGTGTGTTGAGGGACAAAGAGTGGAGTGGGTGTATAAACACTTACTACAGGAAAACTAAAGGGGCGTGTTCTCATTCATTTCCCGGAAACTCTTTGGGTATAACTGTCAGAGCTGTTTCATTGCTCTCATTGCAGCATCATGACAGGTAGAGGGAGAACATGCAAGGCAAAAAGCCCTGACACTAAGTGTGCCAAGAGTACATCTAAACCTGAGGAAATGAAACATGAATCTCCCCCCAGATGCACGAGGAAGGACTTTAAAGAAGAGAAGCAGAAAGGCGCCACAAAGGAACAGAAACCAATGGTGCAGAAAAAGACGAGCAGCACTGACGAAAAGCCATCTGCACAGAGCATCCGTAAAGAGAAGACCACAAAACATTTCACAGAAGAGGTGAGCAAGCAGCAAAGTACACCTGCAGTTAACAAAAAGGCTCCTGTGCAAGGCAGACAAGTCGAAACAACAGAACCAGTTACAAAGTCAAAGAAGATGCAGCCAAAGGGCACTACAGAGGATTCTCCAAAAACCACAAAGGAAAAAAAATGTGTCATGAAGGAAAAATCCCCAGAACAATCTAGAGAGGAGAAGACGAAGGTGCAGCCGGAGGACATCAAGACGGCAAAAACATGTACTACCAAAGACAAAATTCCAGAGACAAAAATGCAGCCACTGAGACCCAAGGAGAACCTAAAGGCTGATCGGTGTGAAGGCAAAGTGGACAGGATCCTCTCCACAACTCTGGACAAATTAAGAATAAAAAGGGATGAAAAATCATATACTTCCAAAGTTGTTAATGAACTTGTAGACGCCATACTTTCACATTTGAAACAGAACACTCAATGCTTTAAAGAAGCCGAACCACTACCGACTGGGAGTTACTATGAAAATCTAAAGGTAAGTCACTTTGGTTCATATCTCCTCAAACAAACACTGGGTTTCATCAGTTCTTAGGAAAAGAGCAAGGGGTCTGTAAGTAGGTGGAAGATATACTTACTTGAGTTAGTGCCATACTTGAAAAATAATGTCTTTAAATAATGTGATGTTTTCGTGTTTGCAGATTTCTAATCCGGATGAATTTGATGTCATGCTGGCCATTCCAGTTGACCGAGTGGACGTGAGTCCATTTGGAGATGATGGAGCCTTTTACAGTGTGAAGTTCAAACGTGGCAATAGCCCTCTGAAGAAATTTGAAGAGAGCGGCACTTTATCCGCCAGTAAAATGCTGGACGAGTTCAGGGCAGAAGTCAAGGAATGTGCCAAGAAATATACAGGTAACTGCCAGAACAAGATATAAAAAGATCCAAAAGGGAAATCGTAAGGAAAAAGTCTGTGTAGGTGCCAAATGCTACTTAGCCTGAGTTCATTATTTGTATTATTATTATTTGTTTAAGTAACTTTTATTTGTTTGTTGAGCACTGTTGAGGATGTCACATGGGTGTGGTTTGTGTACTGTAGGTCACCTGTTTCATGTCGAGTGCGGATGACAGAGTGCTTGTGCTGTCATTTTTTCTGTTGACCGTTTTTGTCCCTATAGTTACTGTTTCTATTTTGTTTATTAAATATCGTCAAACTATCTTACTTCAGTAGGCCTATGGACTTTCTCATTGAAAACGCATCGCAGCATAAAGCCAAGCTTAGCCTCTCGGCGACTCAAACTTAACTGGAAATTGAGCCGCCAGTCTGCTTTAGTCAAATGTATACATTATAAAACCATAATGAATACTTGATCTAAATTGTGCTTCTTGTTTGTATTTTCAGGATGGGAGGTGATAAGGAAGAAAAAAGGCTGCCCTGCAGTGACTCTGATCAGAACAGTACAATCGGTCACCGTCTCACTGGATATCGTTCTGAGCCTCAAGGTTAAATCGAGCTGGCCATCTTTCACCAAAGAAGGCCTTCAAATAGATAGCTGGCTGGGCACTAAAGTAAAGCGGGATTACAAGTGGGAGCCATATTATCTTGTACCGAAATTTGAAGGCAAAGGTACAGAAGAGAAAGACGGGATCCTAGCCAAGGGTAAGTCTTTCTCTTTGTTACATACACAACATTTTGGGGCTTTTACATATTTAAAGCTATTTAATGAATGAAAACTGGAAAAAAGGGAAGCTTAAACTTTCCTTACCCGTTGAGTATTTTCTCTTCTTTACCACGCAGATACTTGGAGGGTGTCATTCTCTCATGTTGAGAAGGCCATACTGAAAAATCATGGATCGCAGAAGACATGCTGTGAGAAAGAGGGAGAACGCTGCTGCAGGTGAAGATTTTAACTTAATCCTCAAGTAAAACTAGTCTTTTGTCCAATTGCCATTACTTAGAAAAACAAGTCTTTATGTATATTTGGCAACAATGGTATAATTACAGAATATAATAGAATTTATAAAACGGACAAGTCAAATCAAGCAATCTGATTGGTTCTATACTGAGCGTATACCACGGGTAGAATTGTAAGTTACTTTTCACAACAAGTCAGTATCCCTCCGCGTCTGAGAAAAACAGTATACCGTTGGGCTGAAAAGCAAACATACTGGAACAAGAAAGCAGCGGAGAAGTAACGGGGCAGAAGCCCTCCTTTTTGACGCAGCGGTCCAGACATAGACATCAAACGGCAAAACATATTCAGTGTGCAGTTCCTTTGGCATTAGGGCAGGGATATCTAGATACTTTCGAAGGTTTAACATAATGAATTGTGCTACTTTTAAAGCAAGCAACGATGTTTTCAAATCTGTAATCAAAGAGGTCCGCAAAAACGCTATCGACCAATCAGATTGCTTGATTTGACTTGTCAGTTTTATAAATATATTTAAATTTCTTCCGTTACGAAACAAATTTACAAAGCATAAAATGGAAACATTTAAGATTAACTTCGACCTCCGGGGGGGTCTTACTATAGTATGGAGGAGTGGATTGAGCAGTTCCTATCTCCAGAAAAAAAAGCACCTAAACTA